AAAGGTAACAGGAAAAGACAGAATGGTATGACTCTAAAGTGATCCAAATGAGTTCAGACTACCACAGAGGCCATAATCTACTAACTAGTATCCCACTACCTTTGTATTTGTTGATGCTTGCCATGGTCGAACCTTGCCCAGTTCATTTTAAGACAGTTACAGTTAATCAGTAATTACCAGATGAGCATACAACTTATTTCAAATGTATTTTGAAAAGCATTGATCCGTGAACCTTAATTTTTATAAATCTAGCCAGTTGAAATAGCCTGTTCACGTGGATATAGACCAATAAATTACTTTATTAAGTTTTTGCTTTTAGGATAAAAAAACTTAAACTCTCATGTGACAAGTAACATTTGTGCCTAGCAAGTAGCAGGCAGTGACTATGTCCAAGAAGAGAGAATTGCTCTTCTTGACTTGTAACAGATTTACGATTGCTGAATTCTCCTCCATCGATATTCTGAAGGTTAGTATTGATCAGAACTTAATTGCACTGGCCATGTAAATACTATGGCTACAATACAAAAGGGCTGGGTATTCAGATATTTCCTGACTTCCCAAAGCTTTAGCCACCTTCAATATACAAGTCAAGAATGTGATAGAAGTCTACTTGCCTGGATGAGTGCAGCTTCAATAATACTTGAAGCTTTACACCATCCAGGGCAAAACAGCCTACTTAATAGACACCACATCCACCACTTTAAATACTCACTCCTTTCTTCTCACTCAGCATGACTGCAGTACCATGTACACCTGCATTGCAACAACTCACCAATATTTATTCTACAGTTCCTTTCAAACCCATGGCCTTTACCAAAAATCAAAAACAAGGGCAGCAGGTCCATGAGAAAACTGCCAGCTGCAATTTCACTTCCAATTTCCACAATATCCCGACTTCCAACAATATCGCCCACTGATCCTACATTATTGCTGTGCTTCCCTCCTTAATATCACTGGGTGTACCTGCACCACAAGAACCATATCAGTTCTACAAAGCAGCTCACCACCATCTTCTTAAGGATGGGTGATAAATCCTGATATTGCCTGAGACATTCATCACCTGTATGAATGAAATATATTTAACATCAGGGACATGTCTAAGTCTATTGTGATGCATTAAAGACTTCTGAAATTTTGGAAAGTTTCTGGGAACCAACCTTGGCTTACTTTGGAGGTGAATTTGCAGGAATATGCTGCAAACTATGTAAATAGCAGTTTTGCCATATTGATTTTAGGTTTTTGAGCTACATTCGGACGAATTTCCCTCTTACTTCCTCCACTTCTCTTAGTGTGTACTGAGTGTGCAGGTTTTACTCTATCTTCAAATTCCCGAGGAAGGAAGAAGAGGAATAAACATAGTCATTACTTGAACTAATGGCTCATTAATCAAAGCTACATGTAAAATTTCATCTCATTAATCACCTCTGATAGTAATTGGCTGCTAAACAAATTCTTCCACAATATAATTGGTAACAATGGAACTATCATTGTAGACATTGTCTGTCATTCTTCTGTACTATAACGTGCAGTGAAATATCCAATGTAATACGTAATTCAATATCCAATGAAGATCATGTCAGTTCAAACTGTGATAGCATCTCTGCATCTCAGTTAGTATCATTTTAATCTTAAAATGTCAGCTGTAGTCTTTCTGTGTTGTAAATACAATGTAATTCAACAAAAGAAAGTTTTTGAATTATCAAGCTTTAATCTTATAAAAAGCTATCTGTGAAAGCGTGTGTGAAAACCAAAGCTCTGACGTATGTTATGGGTTTGTTCTTTTGTGATAGTCCTTTATACACCATTTAATCACAATGTGACATTCAGTCCACATTGTGAAGGTATTTTTAATTTTAAAAATCAAAAATGTTGAAGGAATTAAGTTTCAAGAAATGATTTTAAAGCAAAATTCTAAAAAGGCTTTAAAATCTGCTTGATTAAATTGATGTTCAAATGAATTTGGCATAAGCTTGAGGGAACAAACACACCGGTTTTGAAACCAGATTTTGGGCACAATTTGCTCCTGGATCTCTAACAGCACCCAAAGTGAGACTTCCAAACCCAGTTTTCAGTGCTAGCTGTGTGCAGGGAGGATTGTATCTGGGCTGAAGGCCACTGGATAACTCAGGAAAATAAAGAATGAACCAATTTCCCTGTTTCTTATCAGTAGCTAGCAATTTTGACTGTTAATTGTGTATATGCATGATGGATTATTGATGCACTGTCCTCCTTACAAAACTCGGATGGTTTTGCCACATTACATGCTAAGTATAAATAAGGTGAGTCGTCCATTTAACTTTGGAAAATTGTCTAACAGGCAATATTTAAAGGTAAGAGTACTAAATTCACCAAGTTCAGAGATTTGAAATGCAAAACTGTTTTTCCAGAATCAGACTGCAGATGTCAATAGAATTACTGTCTGCGTAGTTAGAAAAGTAATCACTTATGGTTTTTAATATGCCTCTAAAGAGCAATCAGATGAATAGTCCACAAAGAGAATTGATCATTGTATAAGAAAATAATAGTGTGCAAACAATATGATGGTGATAGTGTGAGAATACCCCTGTTGTATAGATTATGAAGGTAAAATAGTTTTGTTTTGAAGCTAATGAACTTCCCTTCTTTCCAGACCTCCTCTTATTCTTGGGTCTGCATTTGTATCATGCCGACCGACCCGAGAATAGGAAGAGGCCTGGAAAATTGCTCCTATTTGCTCCTGCATTTCCAGTTGCCCCTAACTTGAAAATTTCAAGCCTAGATATTAGCACTAGCAGTGTGAATGGAGGATTGCTGTTGGGCTCAGGCTCACTATTTTTACACTTCCATAAATACTATAAGTACAAATGCATTCTGATTTTGAAAATGAATTTTCTAATCTCTAATCATACTGACATTGTGCATTTAGTAGCCATGCCTTAGAATATTGCCTGAAAATTGTTCCAAGCTAAACATACTGCTTACCTTTGCTAATGCTTTGTGTTACAATGTTATGCTCTTCTGTAAATTACATATTATTTCTGTTTCAGTACATTATATACTTGTGTAATTAGCATCAAGGCAATAGTTTTGTGCTTGGCAGACGTTGATACATGATAAATATAGTATGCTGCAATTGATGTTGCTGGCATTGTGTAAACATCTGCAATATTTAGTGTGTCAATATTTAGAAAGTGAAATTACACTGCAGTAATAGTGAATATAGAAATGTATGAATTAGGAGGAGGAATTCGCTTGCTGTGACATTTAGCAAAGTCATCACTGAGCTGAAGCGTTAATTCCACATTGTTGCTTGCCTTTGATAACCACGGACTTCCTTGTTTGGCAGAAATTTATGTGCCTCTGCTTAAAAATATTCAATAACCCCACTTCTATCGCTCATTGGAGAAGAGAATTCCAAATACTCATAACCCTCCAATAGAAAGCAAACTTGTAAAATGAAGTATCCGTATGTCATTTCACAATAGAGCTTTGATCTTTCTATAAAACTGATGTGAATTTATTGCAGTGTCACTTAAAGTTGATTATTTGTAATCGGATCCTTTTGTTTTGTAGAATACTGTAACTGGATTACTGCCTGCTAGCCCTGAACAGCAAGATGCTTGGGTTCGTGATAATGTATACAGCATCCTGGCAGTATGGGGCCTTGGAATGGCCTATCGCAAAAATGCTGACCGAGATGAGGATAAAGCAAAGGCTTATGAGCTTGAGCAGGTGAGTAGCTGAACATAATTGATAGCTCTTATTACACAGAGTTGGAATAGAGGTTGGGAGGTAGGGCTGTGCTCCTGGGAGTACCCATAAAGTTGTAACATTTAAGAAAAAGGTTTCTTCTACTCCTACCAGTAATGAAATGATAGAAGAGGTAATAATTGATAAGTCAGTAATTCTACCTTCCACATAGAAAGCTCACCTAGATTACTTTCATATACTCCAATCTTAGGACATAACCTTCTATTTACTTGATAAATTAGTTTATAACTTTTATTGCCTCCACCAAATTCTTGTTCACTGAAGTGGCATGGTATTTCTTTCATAAGTTAACTGCTCTTGAGTGTTATTCAAAGTTCTGTCAGATGAAGGTTTCCTTGTCTTAATTCTGTTATTCCAATTCACTTTTAAGCTAAAATCTCAGCTTTCATATATGTCAATCTTTGTATTTCAGTAATGAGTTGTTTTAATCAATGGTCTGCTAGACGTGTGGAGAGTAGAAGCTTGTTACTGTTAATGGACTTTTGAGGAAAAGACCTACTCATGTAGGCTGAATAACAATGAAGAAAACACAACCAGACTCTGGCTGTTCAATGGCTAATAGAATAACTACATCTTGGACTGATGTACGCTGCTGAATGAGGAAATCATGAACATGTTTCCAATCATGAAGTACCTTGTTTGAGTCAAAGAATAAGTATATTTCATTTTCTGGAAATAAATGTAACCAATCTGCAAGATTCCAATTTTGTTGTATGGTCAATGCTGAATTATCTGGTCTCAGCAATGGTGATAAGGGATCCACAGTTGGCCTTGGCATCTATAGGATGAAGAAGAATCACTACGATCCTTCCAGATGACCACCTAATGATGTCTCCTGGAAATTGCATTTGTGAGAGTACAAAATTTGCTTTGTGTCAACTGTGATACATCCTGTGCCTAAACAAACAGGTTATGGTCTGGGTTCAATCAAAGAAAGCCTGCTTGTATGAAACTTTTGAAAACTGTTAAAGCATCCTGAACAGGATCCAGCAATGAAAAAAAGAGATATGTCTGCAGTAATATGTGAAATTGCCCCTCACCACACCTACAATTTCACTTTTTACTAGTGATGATGGCTTAAGTGAAAGAATCTCCAAGTTAATGAGTGATTTGAGTGGAAGCACACTGCATGTAAAATAGAGAAAAACATAATTTAAGATGGAGCAAAAAAAAATTTGCATGCTGAATATTTTTGTTGTTATTAATTTATTTTAAAGTAAAAGTTAAGAATCTTCATTTGTTTATTTCCTTACTATACTTTCCAAGCTAAAGTTCCTCTATATTGGATCTGCCAAAGTAGTTGTAACTTAATCTCTGAACAGTGTCATCTTTGAAGTTTGAAAATGTCATGTGAAAGCTGAGGTGGGTACAGCAGTGCCAGAAAAGGGCTACTGGAGGGTTATGGCCTGGTAGGAATTGCTGACTCCATGTAAACATGTACTGGTTTTTATTTCATCTTCCAGAGTGTGGTGAAACTGATGCGAGGGTTGCTACACTGTATGATGAGACAGGTATGAGACCATTTCAGATTTCACATCAGATTTTTTGCTTGCAAAGTAATTAGTCACATTTTATCGCTTCAAACTATTCTATCTTGATATTGTTCCTTCCAGCATAAACAGAATGCATAGTTAAACTTAAACAAAATAAACCCACCCTTTTATGAAATCAGTGGAGTTTTTGTGTTCTGTGTAAAATAGCTTAACAAGTATGACTTTAAAACTGAATCCTCATTTTGAATTTGGAGACTAATTGGTGGAATGGTAAGAGGTAAGAAGTAGCAGCATGGTATAATAACTTGGAGAAGTAATTAACTATGCAGTATAATAGGACATCAGTTTTCCCTTGACTTCCCCTAACAACAGACTGTTATATTGTTCTGTGATCACAAAAGTATGTCGTTAACTTGTGCAAATAGTTATTCTTTATGTTTGGAATGACATAAAGGTTAGCCAGACCTTTTAACAATGAGGAGGTTTTAACTTGAAATCTGATTCTTACCTGGTGTTCACGCAATACTTATTTAAGAGTCAGCATATTGTGGTCAGGTGCGTGAACCTATCTAAATATTTTCCTCACTACCAGCTGACTATCTGTTACAATTATGCTTGTGTTTAGACCAATTTTGACTTGTCTTAGGCACTGTAGCTGTCAACTAGGCAGACCGTAAACTTTTTCCTGTAAAGTTTTAAGGGGTTAGTGCAGGGTATTAAGATTGACTGATCTGCAGTTGATTTCTCATGATAATGAAATTCTTTTATGTACATAGATAAATAAAGTTGAAAAATTCAAGTACACCCAGAGTCCACAAGATGCCCTTCATGCTAAGTATAACACTGGAACGTGTGCTACAGTGGTTCAAGATGATCAGTGGGGTCACCTACAAATTGATGCTACCTCCATCTTCTTGCTTTTTCTTGCACAAATGACTGCTTCAGGTAAGAAGAACTAACCAAAGTTGCTCTGAAACATTGTCACGTTGCTAGCCAATTCTCCACTTTTTGGTGATGATTCTGGTTCGCCTCTTAAAGCTTTCTGACAATTGCATTTCCCAGTAATTTATGCAGTTAGTTGTTTGGCATCAATTCTTTATATATTGTTTGAACTTACTTTATTCATATACTTGGTTTCGACTAACATTGAATTCTAACTCTTAATTCTGATTTCCTACATTGCCTCATTCTTGAATGGTTGTTTATTTCAGTTCAGATTGGGGCCTCTGACAACAAAACAGTATCACAGCACCCTTCCTCTCTACTCTATTTGCCTCATTACATTAAAGGAATGATATTGCTTTCCTGAGCAGGCCTAATTAATAACTTCTAATAATTCTGTGGTTGTTTTCAATTGGTTCTGCAGTACAGTTTTCAGGCACTATTCTGGTGTTTTTGGACAGAAGAGAACTAGCTGTCGTACTATTCGGGCAATTGAGAGATGTCCTGTACCCATGCTTGACCACTTTTTGAGGGGACCTCAAATAGGTGTTAGACCCCTATCTTATTTGTATATGCAAAGGGTCTAACTCTTGTTTAAGCTCCCATTGGTAAGATTACCTGTTCTTAATTATAACCAAAATAACATAGCTGGATGTGGAGTTGAAATAAGTAGATGTGCTCCTCTTGAACTCGTGTTAGAGGAACTGATCACCGTCACCTCTGAATTTCCTCATCATTCTGAACTCTAGGTTCCCATAGTCACCACCCAAACTCTGGTCCTTTAGTTTCTTGTATCCGCCATCCCCGATGGATTCAGTAACCCTTATGTTAGCAGCAGGTAAGTTTTCAGCACTTTTTGCTGATGGGTTCTGAGGTCACCTTAGGTCCATTATCGTTATAATCCTGTTTGCTCCATGTGCTCCTAAATTTCTCAGTATTCTGGATAAATCTAGTTCTATTCTCTTTGTGTTACAGTGTTACCTCATTACATTGCATCACGCCAGCGCAAAAAGAGACAGACAGTGTAGGTCAACATTTATGATTTTTCCACAGTTGGAATAATGAGAACAATGAAAACAGTGCCTGAGGAGCAGACAGTTCTGTTTCTGAAGAACGGTCTAGGCCCGAAATGTCAGCCTTCCTGCTCTTCTGATGCTGCTTGGCCTGCTGTGTTCATCCAGCTCTACGCCTTGTTATCTCAGACAGCTCGGTTTTCTGTGTTTCACTCATTTTATGTTACTGACCATATTGATTATGATTTTCCATTTTTGTGCAGTCTGCAAGTCTATGAATAGACAGGAAAACTTCCGGATGGTGTTACATCTTTTTAGTTTTTGATCTGAAATGTGACTTTTTAAAAAGTTGATCATTTTCCTTGGCAAAAGTATTTGTAATGCAAATGTACAGTATTGAAAACTCTTGTGCTACAAATCAGATTTACTTCACTTGAAGTTAAGGTTGACAGACTGTAAACTTACATATGGTAAAACTTTCAAAAACTTTACAGTTTCTGTGTGATTTCTTCATTCTTGATATTGTGTGAATGTGGTTGATGTGGATCTGTCCTTTGAGTATCTTGATGGCTTTATTGATATCAAGAGTACACAAATCATATTGTTTTTTTTTATTTAAAGCGGGAAGGAAAGTTTTCCTTTATCTCCCTCTCTCTTATGACTATACAGATTTTCGTTTGATACCTTGTGCTCCTCTGACTGAGCCAATACGTCATTCATAACCTGGGTTCTAATCATACTGTTAAGATGTAAACTCTTCCAAGGTGTGACACAGCTCCTGGTGATTTGTTTTAATTTGTTTAATTATTTGTTTTAATTCTTTGCTGTTTTTGAGACAAGAAATTTGGTAGCGTGGAATATGAAACCTGAATAACTTGACCCCATTATGTGTTTTGAGTAATTTCCTCTATCACACTCACACAGTCCCAGCATTAGAGATCCTGGAGAAGCTTTTTTTGCATTATTCCAACTATCTATAGCTATATTTTGTTTTAATTTGTGGTGTTTAAATATTTCCAGTCAATTACATCACTATACTTGAAATGTTTTCCAAAGGTTTGTTAATATCTTTGCATAAATGGTAAGTGTTGAATTACATACCATGGTAAATGTTTTTTTTTAAATGTCACTATTCAGTTTTCCAGGAGAATTGATAGAAATAGAATTCAATCTCAAGTACTAGTAAAAGTTGTGTGTTTCAGATATAATAAAAGCTGAGTTTAATTTTTTTTACTCAATCTGTTCAGAGATGTTACATCTTTGAAGCAAGTAGGACTTGAACCTGGGCCTCTTGGCTCAGAAGTAGGGACACTGCTACTGCATCACAAAACCACCACCCCCCACCGAAAAAAAAAAAAAAAGCTGAGATTAACTTAAGTAATCATAAATTGATGCAACTGATTATTTAATGTTCAAATTGAAAGCATTAATGATGAGTGTTTTTTCTCCCTAGGGCTTCATATAATTTTCACTCTGGATGAAGTGAATTTTATACAAAATCTTGTGTTTTATATAGAAGTGGCTTATAAAGTTGCAGTGAGTACCAGATATTCTGAATGTCTGCTTTAATCTTACTATGTCATGGGCAAAGATAATTGTGGTTATTCCTAAATTTTATAGGACAGATTTAAAGATGATGTTTAGTAGCTATTCTCTGCTTTTTTTATATGCTTGCTTTTATTAAAACTTTGGCACAAGGTATATGTCACTGCTAGGCATCAAAATAATTTTATTTTCCAGAGTTCCTGAGATTTTCTTGAGGGCTGTCTCTTGATTTTTGGGGGCTGCTTTTTGGTTTTCAAAGATTCCATTCTCATTCTGATCAACTCATTTATCAGGTGATGCACCCACATAGTAATGATACCTTCGGTATTTGTGTTGACGTATGGTATTTGGACTTGCATTGAAGCGGAATTAGAATTGATCAATATTTCAGTTATCAACCCTCCATTAACCTTGGTCCCAACTTGCAAGGAAAGTATTAGTTTTCTCGATACCACATTATTTAAATCGGCGCAAGACAACAGGTGCAAGGTAGCAACAGAAGTTCAAAATAGCTGCACATTACATTTTTAAAAAAAAAACTACTTGTGCAAATTGGTGAGGTTTGCAGCTAATGCATTCCTGTTGCATATGCACAAATGGAACATTTAACCAATTATTACTTCTTTTTACTTCAACTCAAATCTCAATCTTTTCATATTTTCCATTCTCACTTTTAGCTGAATATTCTTTTATTGAGAGAATTAAAGTGGTCGTATTTCCCTCAGTCATCTCCCAACCTCAACAGCATGCATCAGCCTCTCATTGCAGGCTCCCTCCTTCCCCCATCCCACATTTTACAGAATCTGTCTCTTTCGCCCTTTTTTTCTTCCTCTTCCTCTTCCTCTTCCTCTTCCTCTTCCTCTTCCTCTTCCTCCGCCTCCTTGCAGCCTTCCTCTTTGACACCAACTTTGTTAACTCTCTCTTCCCCCATATTTCCCCTGCACACCCCCACCCCAACATTTCCTCTCTTATGCTTCTCCTTTATTCCTCTCCCTCAAATTCCCTGTAGGACACTCATCATAGACCCAGCAAAACATAGCTCCCTCCTCGCATTGGCAAAAGGCAGTTATTTCCTGGCTCCAGTATGATACTGCAGTTACTGGAGAAAGATTCCCTTGGCAAATCTCTTGCTTTCCTAACTGCTGGTGGTTCCTCCAATCATAATAGTGATCCTATCAGCAGCAAGAATGGGAATGAAGCAGCCTGTGTGATTGGAGGAGTTGCTTATGGCCAAGTGTAATTATCAGGGATAGGTTTTCTTGCATTGGTCATGTCCATGGTTGAATACTCCCCTGGCATTTTCTGGGGGCTTTCAGGGGCATGTTTCCCTTTGTTACTATTGAGTGCTGTACACTGCAGTTATGTACAATGCAGCAATGTATAGGTTGATATTCACAATTCCACGAGCCTATGTTTTGCCTCAAAGTCATGAGAGAATGTGGTTTCCCCAGCTTTGGTAACAGTGAAAAGAAACTTAAACATTTTAGCAATATTTTACAAATTTAAAATGAGCTACTGCTAAATTTGTGCGGCTTTTTCAGTTGATCGTTGGCCTCCCAATTTAGTTGCATGCTGGAAATGTGCTATCTGTGACATACCCAAAAATGAACTGTAATCAGTTTAGGCTCCCCTTTTCTGGGAAGGGAATTACAGTACTTGGCCCATGTGGTGATTAAATCCGTTACTCACATTTCCTTTTTTTTTTGAATTTGGCAGGATTATGGCATGTGGGAGCGTGGTGACAAGACAAACAGAGGAATTCCGGAGCTCAATGCCAGTTCTGTAGGTATAGCCAAAGTAAGTGTTAAATTATGTTTTTAAATACTTGAGAGTGGAGTGGCAAAGCAGTGTGACTGGACGTTCCAGTGTGTTGACATATTTTCGAACTTGGACTTGAATCTGACCCAAGCTTCTGGAATGAAAGTCACCTTCCTTTGTTTATTGCAAGGATTCAATGTGACACATGGCACAGCCAAATTCTTTGTGTGCACAGATTCTCGCTATCAGTTTACACTATCTGTCTAGTTTTTAAAAGGCTGTAATTTGCGTGGAAGGGAATAGAATCCTTTGCTGTTCTTGAGTTTGGGACAAATAGTACACTAAAACACAGATTATAGTGAATTATATGTGGCTAGTATTTAAATCCACCATGGTCTATAACAGATATACATCTCATCTAAGGCACACAGACTCCAAGGGAAAGGTAAATCAACTGTGGCCAGTGAAAGAAGTTTAAGATAGAAGCATTAAAAATAGGAGCAAAAGCAAGCTGGTCTATCAAGCCTGCTCTGCCGTTTAACATCACGGCTGATCCTTTATCTGAACATCATACTCCCACCCTCTCCTCGCATCCCTCACTATCTTTAGTATCTGGAAATCTATCCATTTTTATACATATTCCAAGCCCTTCTATGGTAGACAATTCCAAAGGTTCATCACCCTAAATGAAGAGGTATCTCTTCATCTCTTCACTCTCCGTAATGGCTCAGCCAGTATCCTGTGACCTTGTTCCCAGACAGGAGAAACATCATCCCTGAATTCAGTCTGTGCAGCTCCATCAGAATTTCATGTTTCAATGACATCCCCTCTTGGTCTAAACTGAAGTGCATGCAGGCCCAATTGACTCAATCGCTCCTTGTACGGCACACTTGCCAATCCCAAGAATTAGTCTGGTGAACTTTTGCTGCACTTTCTCTAAAGCACATATATCTTTTCGATAAATAGACTTAAACTGCGCACAGTACTCCAGGTATGGTCTCACCAAACTTCTTTAGAGCTGAAGTAAGACTATAAGGATAAAAACATAACAGCTTTCTCAATTTTTAAAAAAACAACTTGTTTTAAGTGAGGTCTGAAAGTAAAACTGATATTTCTTATCACAGGCAGCTCTCGAAGCACTTGATGAATTGAACCTCTTTGGAGCTAATGGAGGCCCCAAATCAGTTATCCATGTCCTAACAGATGAAGTACAGCTCTGTGAAGTAAGATCTAAAGAAAGATGGTGCATTTCAGCTGGTGCTGTGACTGCAATGTATTCTAGCAAAACTTTAATATAGTTAGTAAAATTATAATCATATCAAGGTATGAGATTTAGCCTTACATCCCAAGGTTTGTGTATGCCATGTTTGAAGTACGTAAGGCATATATGTTAGCTTAAATTTATAGCCATCCATCTAGACATTAAATGTTCAAAATTGTTTTTCACCACTGCAATACACTTTTTGGTATAAACCATGAACTGTTAAAATCAGCCACTTTTTTTCTTCATCCATTGTGAGCTGTATTATGGGAAAAATTTAATGTTAGAATATATGATTAATAGAAAATATTAATTATCAAATATTTTGTGTACAATATTAATGTGCATATGTAAATATATTTATTATATATTCAGCATCTGGGTCATACATGTTGCAAACTAATATGAGCATTGGTCTACATTTTCTAATGGCCAGATAATCATTTTTAAAACTTGGATGGTAGTTGTGCTTGGGGACCCCGCAGAATCTCCAGCATAGCAGTCTCCATAGCAAACTGTTTCTTGTAACTCAGTCAGTTTTGTATCCTATAATGTACAGTGCATTTCAACAGGCTTGTGAGCAACGTTAGAACTATTGTTTAGCAGTTTATGAAATGCCTTTTGGAAGACCGTGTTCACAACACAAAACTGCTGTTTAATGCAAGTGTTAGAGGGTGATGCTTTTGAAGTGATTTTAAATATTTTCTGATCAACCTGCTCAGCGATGTTATTATACATGTCTGAAACAGGTGGGACATGAACCTGGGCCTCTTTGCCAAGAGGAGGGGATGTGACCATTGCATCATAAGAATCTCTTTGGAGGTGTTGACCTTGAATTTTGTGACTGAGGTCATCTAAACAACCAAATAGAAATGGGCTAGGATAAAGGATCAAATGTTGAGGTATTAGTTATTGCAAGCTGTGCATTGGGAAGAATTATTCTACATAGTGCTGCACCACTGACTGCCTCTGTAAAAAAATAAAGATTTACTGTTTAAAAAAAAAAAAGGAAAAATATCCTTTCCACAAATACTTATGATTAGTGTTTAAGGAGAAAGAATAAATGAAGAATGCACACATTAAGCAAATCTGTCATGGGAATTGGGGATCCAACAAAGTGAAAACTGAGAATGAAAGATTTGGGTCATAAAAAACATACTTGCTTCTTAACTTTTATAAAATGAGGGTAAAGAAAATAACGAAAGAACTAGCAATTATGCAACATCTTTGAAAACTTCAGGATAACCCACAAACAATTAAGAACCACTGTAGTGCTAATTGCATATATCAAGGTCCTACAAATATCACTTTTAAAAACAAATAACCCTTTTGTTGATGTGGTTTGAGGGATAAGCTTTGGCTAGAATCTTGGTAGAACTCCACTGCTCATCTTTGAATAGCTCTATTGTTTTACATTCATCTGGTGGTCAGAGGGTCATTGGTTTAGCATCTTGTTTGAAAGATGGGAACTGCAGGCCTCCCTCAACACTGCAGTCAGGTTTCATCTAGATTTTTCACTCGAGTCTCTGAGTGAGACTTGAGCCAAGATTCTTACACTGAGGTGAGAGTGCTATCACTGAGCCAAAGCATATAAAACTCCATTAATCGCTTGAAATCATTAAGTCAATATCAATAAGGTTTTTAATATTTTCCTTGACTCTGTTATGAGCTATATTACTTTCACTGTTGAAGTGTTATTCATAGCAATAAGTGTACAGCTGTTTGATTTAAAGTGCGGTAGGACCCATGTGATAATTGCATATTGTGTACCTGGGACCACACTAAGTAATGATATGGTTGTTATGCATTTCCATGCATAAAATAATTGTTTTAATTTTTTTGCTCATGAAAATATATGTGCATTTTATTTCAGTCTATTCTACATTCAATGTTACCTAGGGCATCAACATCCAAAGAGATTGATGCTGGTCTCCTCTCAGTCATTTCCTACCCAGCTTTTGCAGTAGAGAATATTGATTTGGTAGAGTTAACTAAACAAGAGATCATTACAAAACTACAGGTAAGTCTTTTCTCCAATTTGTTCTTCTCTTCAGTTAAAACTAACTTGTGCTGAAATACAATTCTAAGCATGCAGCTTTCTGATAGCAATCTGTTTGGCTGTTCTTCCATATTCTTGAAAGTTTGTGCCTATGTACTGAGTGATAATGAGGTATGTTTCAACTTGATGTAATATTTTCTCTTGCACATTCATTGAAGTATTGACATTAGCAATCTTGACTGGGGACATTCTTGGGTAAATGTACTATCACCATCCTGGCTGAAATTGGCTAATTAATTCCAGAATAGAGATTGATTCTGAGAGATTCCTAAGTGAAACAAACTTGACTTCATCAGCATTCTTGTACTCAAGCTACAGTTGCACTCAATGAGAATTTTTTTGTCGCCAAAATTATCCAATTAAGATCTTCACATTTACTCTGCTTTCGAGGAGAAGTTCTGATGTTAGGATTGGAAAGTGGAAGAATCAGCTAGAAGCATTGTAATGATGAGGAAATTTAAACGCAGTCATTTAAAGAGATGCCTTTCTTAATTACTGATGTAACTCAGTAAATTGACAATTGCAAGACTGCAACGTAAAACATTACCAAGACTAAATAGATTGACATAAATTATACATAAAGCAGGTGTAATGATTGGAACCAGCTGGTTCTGTTTGACCATGAGATCCTTGATTGAGGTTGTTAACCTGGGCCAATCAGGAAAGCCTTGGCTGACCGATCTAACACCAGGGGATTAGAATCTCCTCAATTCAGGCGACTGACCCCGAGCTGGCTGACCACAGCCAGTGTACTGTGCGTAAGTAAATAAAGGATGACTTGGTAATGGGATACCAGCCTCACTGCAGTTATTTCAGTGGTGATGGAAGAAAACAGTACATGCCTGAAGAGTATTCATTTGCAACAGTCATGTTGGAGTTGGGGTAAGCATTTCTGGCATCATGCCTTTATTTGGGAAGCTTGACTTGTATGATCCTTCTGTCGAAAGACTGGGCCCAGTATGCAGAAAGAATGTGATACTTTTTCCAGGCAAATGACATGGAGCAGATGAAAAGCAGCGAGTAATCCTTCTGACTGCTTGCAGACCCACAGCATTTTCGGTTCTACGGGGCTTAACTTTGCCAGAGGCACCAGGCACTAAAACTTTTGAGAGTTGATGGAGTTGGTTAAGGAATATTATGGAAAATTCATACGTAACTTGGCCTCCATCTTGGCACTCTTACACCTGTTATTGAAAAAGGGTCAATCTTGGAAATGGTCGTGTAGCCAAGAAGTAGCCTTTAGGGAAGTGAAAAAGCAGCTATCATCATCTCCGGTGTTGGCCCACTACGATCCGAAGCAAGAGGTAATGCTTACATGCAACGTCTCCCTTTACGGTATTGGGGTAGTGTTGGCTTACCGGTGGTCCAATTGAGAAGAACACCTGATAGCGTATGCTTCCTGGACTTTGGCTGATGCCGAACGCAAATATGCCCAGACAGAGAAGCAAAGTTTGGTGGTCATCTTTGATGTGAGGAAGTTCCACCAGTACCTTTACGGATGAGAATTTGCAATAGTGAGAGCTCACAAACCCCTGCTAGGACTACTGAAGGAAGACAAAGCTGTGCCGCCCATAGCTTCTGGTAGAATTCAGCGTTGGGCCCTTGCTCTCAGTGCATACACGTACAAGTTAGAACACTGTCCAGGAAACCAAATGGCTAATGCAATGCCTTGAGCCACCTCCCACTAGCAGATACTCCACTAGTGGTGCCTCCCCTGGAAGAGTCTGTTTTGGTTTTAAACTTCCTGGACACACTTCCAGGCACCGCTTACAATATCTGACTGCAGATACAAAAAGATCCTGTCATAGTGAAACTAAAACAGCTGCTGGTGGTGGGGGAAGCAGAAGGGCCATTTCAACCAGAATTGAAACCTGTCTCGGCCATGTGAGATAACCATAGAGAACGGCATACTACTGTGGGGAGTAAGAGTGATTGGCCCAAGTAAAGGTCACTGCCAGATACTGGCTGAACTCCACCTGGGTCATTCAGGGGTTTCTACGATAAAGATGCTTGCAAGAAGCTCTGTCTGACAGCTAAGGTTGGATGCTGACATAGCTGCATTGGTTGGGCAGTGCCCAGAGTGCCAACAAGGACAGAAATTGCCACCAGCAGCGCCCCCACATTGATGGGAATGGCCAGATAAACACTGGTCCTGGTTGCACGTCGACTGTGCTGGTCCTTTCATGGTCGTTGTGGACACCTATTGAAAATGGTTGGACGTGAATAAAGTTCATTGAGCAAATTCTGAGACGGCGATTGAGAAGCTGCGAGCATCGTTTGTGATACATGGTCTCCTGGAAGTATTGGTCACGGACGATGGGACGCTTTTTACCAGCAAGGAATTCAAATATTTCATAAAGTCAAATGACATTCAGCATGTAAGGACAGCTCCATACCATCCATCATCCAATGGTCTAGTGGAAGGAGCAGTCCAAACATTGAAAGCAGGCTTAAAGAAGCAGCCTACAGCGTAAATTGATACCAAACTGTCCTGGTTCCTGTTCGATTATAGGACCACCCCACATACGACAACAGGGATAGCTCCAGCAGAGTTTTGTGATGGGGAGAAGACTCGCAGCTCTTAAACCTGATATTTCCAGACCGGGGGAGGGGGTGGTGTGCAATGGCAGCTGGAACGCCAATGCCGGCCACGTGCCACCTCTAAGCGAGAGAGACCATTTAATTCAGGGGACGATGTTTGGTGCCGGAACCATGGAAATGGCCCTGTATCGGTACGAGGTAAGGTTAATTTGAGGTCAGGTCCTGTGACTTACAAAGTTTGGGTAGGTGAGATGGTCCTGAATAAACGCGTGAATCACCTGAAGGCTGTTAGCTCGCAAATGGGGCACGAGCAAAACGTACCTGGCCCCTCAGAACAGCTAGAAGAAGGTCTGTCTGAAACTGTAGGTTCTCCCCCTCCGTCTAGTGTCGACGAAATCTGAGTCTAAGATGGATATGGGCTCGACACTGTTACTGATGGAAGAAGAGGAGGAACTCTCCTGAGACGCTCCGGATACAGGAGATTGGGCTGTGGTCCGGAAAATGCTGCCTGTGTCAGAAGAACTGGACCTGGGGTGAAAATGTCACAAGAAAACCTCCGAGAGACAGACCAGGCCTACGTCCGCAGACTTAGTGGGGAAAGGGATGTAGTGATTGGAACCAGTTTGATCTTGTTGACTACGAGATCCTTGATCAGGGTTGCTAACCCAGACCAATCAGGAAAGTCCTGGTGACCAATATACCTTGGTTCTGGGGATTGACTCTGAACTGGCTGGCTACATGCAGTGTACTGTGCACAAATAAAATGTGACTTGATGATAAGATACCAACCTCTGTACAGTTATTTCAGCAGGCAGTTATGACTAGGTCACAGTGCATTTGATTTCTACAAATTTGAGCTCTTTGGGAAAGCTCTATATTCCAATTAACTGCTAAAGGTTGTCCATAACTAAACTGTTCTGGACATCGCAATGATTAATACCACAATTTCACAAAGGTCTGCAAATCTCTGGACAGACTTCACATTAGAAAAAATATTTCACACTGCAAAACGTCTTTCAAACTACATTTCAGATTTGCTTAAGTTCACCATAAATTCAGATGGGAAATGTACTATTTTACAGCATGCTGATTAACACAGTACAGGAAACTCTAAGAACTGCTTTCCCAACCTCGTTTATGAATTAAATATGGTGCCATGGAATTGACTATAGCTGTGGTTTCTCAGGGAGAGATGCATCTCTGTATCATCACACAGAACTAAATGCATATTAAGCTGTATTGAGGTATCCTGGTTTGCTTCTATTCAACTGTACTATTTGTTTATTTAATTAGGTAACCTTGTTTTGTTGATTATGTTGTACAGGTTAACTAGTCTATTAATTTAACAAGTATTGTAATTTAGACTTTGATTTGAGTTTGACATGCCTCACTGGCTTGGGGAACAAAACTAAAATAACAATACTAACCAGAAGTCGACTACAATCCTGTGATGTCACATCTTGAATTTTTTTGTCTTTGCTTTGGAAGTTCTGAGTTCGTTTTCTTTGGCTCTGAACTCTTTCTGTGGTTGCTGAATCTCACTTTTATTCTCTTTCTCACTGCAGCTTTCTATCTTGTCTTGTTGCTCTTGCTATCCATATTAAAATCACCGAATTCCACACAGCGTGGGAATCAATTGATAAACTGCTGGTCTTTGACTTAATATGCACTTGGTGTGTTTTTAACTTTAGATCACGGGTCAGTTCATTGCTTTCTGCTGAACGTTGTGAACCAATTACTGTGTACTGTTGATATTGAAATTTACAGAAGAGCAATTGCATTAAATAAGAAATGAAAAAACTTCCAAAAATTATGCATAATATTCAAAGGGAGGTTGAGTGATGCACCTGATGGGCAGAAACAGTTTGATTGTTAGCCTGAAGTACTTGCACCTAACCCTTATTGTACTCTTGTGAATTGCATCAGGGTCGTTATGGTTGTTGCCGGTTTCTTAGGGATGGCTACAAAACTCCAAAAGAGGTATAGTGCTTTTCATTGAATTATTTTAAAGCTATTTATTTCTTTCACATTCACACCAAGTTACTTGCGCAGTGATTCGTGTTCATACATATCAAAATGTAAATGTATTGGTCAGGATTTTGTTGTCAACAGGGAAGTGACAACACTTACCATTGACCTCAAAGACAGCTGTCCACAAAGATCCAGCAATCTCTGTAATGTCAATTTTCCTCTTCTGATGTAAATTTATTTAATTATATCATTTAGTTTATGTACATTGATGTTTATTTAGTGTCACCAAATCAATGGAATCTTCAGGCATCCAATAGCAGTGATGTCTACAAGCCGAGTAAGCCACTTTACAGAATGCTCACTGACTATAAATGAGGAAATTGAATGCCTTGATCATCTCTTTACATCAATTTTACAAAGAATGGAATAAAGATGAAGACATACACAGATGTTTCATTGCCATAAACTTTATAAAAAGAATAAGATTTTTTATCATGATGAAAGTATTTTACATTCATATTTTATACATGTGTAATGTTATAGAGGGTATAGAATAATTCACTTCTTCAGTCACCGGTAGTCACTTGCCATTTTACAGTTGTACATTTTTCCTTATTTTTATTATCCTACTACACTGTCACGCGGATGTCAATGTGGAAAATTGCCCAGGTATGTCCCGTACACAAAAAGAAGAGCCAATCCATCCCAGCCAATTACGAAGCCATCAATCTACTCTCAATTATCAATAAAGTGATGTTAGAGGTTTGCAAAAGTGCTATCACAGTAACATGCTTGTTGAACTTTGGGTTTCAGAAGGGCCACTGAAATCCTGACCTTGTTGCAGCCTTGGTTCAAACATGGTCAAAAGAACTGACCTGCAGAGGTAAAATGAGATTGACTGATTGCACTTGACATCAAGACCGCATTTTGACAATGTGGCATCAAGGGCGCCTAGCAAAACTATAGTCAACAGAAACCTGAGTAAATTCTCCTGGTTCAAGTCATACCAAGCACGAAGGAAGATGGTTGTGGTTGTTGCAAGTTAGTCATTTGAACTGTAGGACATCTTTTATAGGAGATCCTCAGGGTAGTGTCTTCGCCCAGCCATCTTCACGGGATTCATCAATGACCTTCTCTTTATTCCTCAGTAAGTTGGGATGTCCACTGATTGCACAAATCAGCACCAATCCTGACTCTTCAGATACCAATTTGGAGATAGACTGCTTCAGTAAGGCCTGGACAATACTTTGGTCTGAAAAGTGGCAAGTGACCTTTGTGTCACAAAAGTGTCAGGCAATGACCTTGAGCCATCACTCCTCAATGTTCCGTAGTGTTGCCAGTGCTGAATCCCTCACTGTCAACATTCTGGGGATTACCAGAAACTGATTTTGTCCACCATCTACATGATACAAGTCAGGAGTATGATGGAATGCTCCTATCTGCCCAGATCAATGTAGCTCCAGCAACACTCAACATCATCCAACACACAGCAGCCGGCTTGATTGGCACCACATCCACAAACATAGAATCCTTCTGCCACTGACACTCCGTATCAACAGTGTGTACGATCTGTAAGATGCACTGCAGAAATTTACCGAGGTTCCTCGGAGTGCCTTCCAAACCTATGATTGCTGCCTTCTTCATTTTAGATGGTAGTAGATACATGGGAAAACCACCATATGCAAGTTCTCCTTCAAGCCACTCACAGTCCAGACTTGGAAAGATCTCACCATTCCTTCAGTTTCACTGGGTTGAATTCCTGGAGCTCCCTGAACACAATGGTGTTGTATTGCACCTACAGCACACAAACTGCAGAGGTTCACTAAGGCAGCTCAAAGCTACCTTCTCAAGGACAATGAGGAATGGGCAATAAGCGCTAGTTCAGCCAGCAATGCCCACTTCCCACAAATAATTAAAAGAAAACTTGTGGTTAAATTATAAAATAGAGTTGTTTGGAGCATGTCTTTCTCTGTTGTATTAGCTGAGAAGGTGACATTTGCAAAACCGAGGCATGAGAGCACCACTGCAATGGTGTAATGTATTATAGCATGAAAAGTTTACATGGGTAGTTTCTATTATGAATCTGAAATTGATCTGTGCAAACAGAATAATTTTGGTATTAATTGATACATTCAGCAAGAAAAAATGAATTTTCTCCTTACCATGGAATCTTTTCCAACTGGGTCAGTTAACTAATCCAAGCCCATTAAATTGTCCCCCTGTAAGAAGAGGGAAAGAGTAATTCCCAATTCGCAATCTCCCTCGATAGTTCAATTAAAAGGAGGTTCTTATTGGAGTCACTGAATTTCCACTTACCAATCTGATGCATTACAGGGGTTGTTGTGTGGATACTGAGGAAAATGAAATCACTGGCTTCTGCTTTGCGACATTACACTTGGTCACTTGTTATTGAGTCACATCATTCTTAGTCCAAAAGTTGTTTGTTTCTATAACCTTAGCTTACATTCATGTTGATTTGTTTAGGATCCTACAAGGCTTTATTATGAGCCTGAAGAACTGAAGTTTTTTGAGAACCTAGAATGTGAATGGCCTTTGTTTTGGACGTATATGATCCTCGATGGCTTGTTCAATGATAACTCTGAGCAGGTAAAGGAAAATGTAAATTAATGTGAATATCCAAATTTTGATTTACTTTTCAATAAATTGTTAGGGCAGCTAATAAACTGTGCTTATGTTTATATCCACTGAAATATGATGATTTGTCAGGTTATGTGATGCAGCAAATGTAATTTATATTTTGGGCATTTTGTTACCTTTGCAGGTGCCTCCCTTAATTTAGTGGTAACACTTTCACTTCTGAGTCAAAAGACTGTGGGTTCAAATTCAACTACAGAAATTTGAGAACAGAATCTATATTGGCATTCAGTGCTGAATTGATGTTTTGTTGTACTATTGAAAGTGTTTACATGTAAAACTAAGGTCCCAATACCCTCACAGGTGGGTATAAAGTATTGTCTTGGAATAGTACCCTGGCATCCTAGCCATAACCTGTCCCTCAAATATCCCCTTTCAACATCTCAAAGACATTTTCTCACTGAAGTTTTCTGTTTGCAAACTGACTTCTGTACTTCATGACATTGCACCAGTGATCATATTTCAGAAGTATTTGATTGAAACGTTTTAGAACATACTGAGGTAATGAATGGTGCTATATAAATGCAATTTCTTTGTTTACTTAATTCACTATACAAATCTTTTATGAAGTGGTCCAGTTCAGCAATAATGCCATTACTGTTAATGTCGACATCTTGCCCTTAACAGTTTTTATTTGATTTGTGTTCAGTAGATTAGAAAACCTAAAGCCATATTGATAAAGTATCATAAGGTTTCAGTTGAAATGATCACTGTAAATTTTCAATAAATGCTGACCAAAAATACCTGCTTGTTATTGCATTGCATATTTGGCATATCTGTAACTTTGGAATATTGTTTTGTTTAATTCGTAAACATGTTGGGCTACCACTAACTTTCTGTTTGTATTAAAGCCAATAAACAATATAGCATAGTTGTGCTCAGTGCTTTTTTTTCCATGAAGTGGTTAGTGTAGTATTAATCTTGGGTAAAACTGTGAAATACATTGGGGTGGAGCTAGCTTTGGATGGAGGTGTAAGAGCAATTAGACAGGTTGAATAAAGGAAAATTGCAGGTGCAGCAAACATTGAGAAGGAAACTTAAAGAATGTAAAAATGATTCATGAATGAAGTTATGTCAATTGCTGTGGAAGATCAGAGGATTTGAAAATATAGGTTTGCAAACATCAAAAGTAGCACCTCCATTTGATATTGAAAAATAAAATCAATTAAATTCTAGGTTTGATGAGAACAGTAGGACATAAAAGCCAAAATCAAATGATGAACCCAACATAAGAGTGTACAAAGACCTCAGTTAGAGTACTGTGTACAGTATTGGGAACCACACTATCGGAAGGGTATTGGACTTCACTGAGGGTACAACATGAATTTGCCATTATAGTGCCCTTGTGTGAGAACATACAAAAAATATGAAAACTGGCTTGCAAAATTAATTTTTAGCCATGTTTTCACTAAACGAGTCTATGATCTGATGAGCAGAACAAATTTCAAAGTGATTGTGAAATCTTAACATTATAAAAAGTGGTAGTTTAGAACAAACAATGCAGTCATTGATGATCAAGAACAAGGGGCCATAATAAAGGAAGAAATATCAGTTGGATAAGGAACATATTTTAATGGATAAAGTCAGTATTTATCTCAATCTGCTATCATGAACATTTATGACTTGAGCATTACATTGTTTTTTGTTTTCTTTCTCTCATGAAAGATCGAAGAATACAGAGAGGTCCTGGATGGAATTCTTGTTAAGGCGGAGGGTGGAATACGTTTAGTACCTGAGCTCTATAGTGTTCCACCTGATAAGGTAATTTTGAAAAACTTCTAGGTTATCCAATATTTTAATATCCCTCTGGTCAGATGGACGTTTTCAGATTAAACCCTATCAGTCATGGTCACAGAACATCTTGCTTGCCAAGTTAAAAGTATCTTTATCACTAATTATCTGCCTGCTGACACACTGTTGCTAGAGTAGTGTTCATGTGTATATTCTTTCTTTGTGAATGGACGCCAAGTCCTTGCCTGATATTGGAACTGAAAACACGGTCACTTAGAATGGGAAATGTTGTACAGCAATACCTATCTAATGTATAGTGCAGTATGTTAAATATTTGTTTTGAGTATTATAATTATGATATGCTTCCTATCAACTTATCTATTTATAATAACTATGTTCTGTGGGTCTCAGTTCTTAAATCCTGCTATTAATGGTAACTTTGTACCACCTCCGTTTTGTTTCTCCAAACTATTGAATTCATATTGCAGGAAAAGTCCAAACTATTTTTCTGGCAATGGCTGATAAGCATCTGAAAGACAGATTTAGTTTGGTTGTCTGACTGAATTGAACACTTTGTTTGGGGTCCTGGCCAATCAGTGAGCGCCATCCTTTTAGCATGCTCTTAATATTCTAATTAAAAATCCTGAGCCTCTCAATTAACATCAATAGTTATAACATCCAGTACATTATCTATTTCTCCATTGTCGTAGTAGAAAACACTAAGAATTCTTCTTTTCAAAAAAAAAGATTTTTTTTGTTTGAACTATTTACAAAAAAAAAAGTTTAGTTTTGTTCATGTGCACACTACTTGTAACTGCATGAGTTTAAATGCACCCTATTCCAAAAGCTTCTACAGGTTTCTGGGGCTTGGAGTCTGAAGTACAAAGCTGGGACTTGATTTCTTTGAGTAAAGCTAATTTTTAATATCTTCATATCAGATTTTAATGTGCATGTTTCAAACTCCATTTAGTTGTCTGTAAAACAGTGATAAAGGATGATTCATTTTAGATTGCTGTTCATGAGAATACTTCAGTATGGATTGTCTGCTTACTGTCATCACTATTGTCGGGTGCCTGGAAATTCCTTACTGATGTATTCAAATTTACACCAGGACCAGGAAAATCCATTTCTCATGTTTGCAAGATTCCTGTGGGCAGATGTCATCGAGGCCAGCAAAATCCAGAGTTATACTGCATATTGTATAGAACAGTACAGCACAGTACAGGCCCTTCAGCCCACGATGTTGTGCCGACCTATTATCCTACTAAGGTCAATCTACCCTGCATACCCTACATTTTACTATCCACCATGTGCCTATCCAAGAGTCATTTAAAAGTCTCTAAAGTATCTGACTTCACTACCACTGCCGGCAGCGCATTCCACACGCCCACCACTCTGTATGATGTATGGTGAATACAATTTTCTAAAGGAAACTACCATTTCTTCATTTCTATTTTACTCTAACTTTTAATACTGCACCTCATCCACCATTGTAATTACTTTGATCAGAAGCTATCTATACTTTGTAGTACTCTTTAATTTTAGAATTCTTACATTGAGGAATTACATTTTTTGATTTTATTTGCTATGTTTTACTGTCTATTTTGTTCTTTCTACCAAACAAATGCCATTTGCTTAGTGCCTCCATGCAGGTGCAAATGCTACAGCACACACAAGTAATTGAGAACATGAGCACTCATGAACTTGGGTGGACCAGTTGGGCATTAAACAAAATAGGAGATTAGTAACAATAAAGTGATTGAATAAGTATTCATTTTAAAGAAAATGAAGTATTTATCATTCCTTGAACTTGAAAGCAAGTTGATTTAATGAACTAATTCTAATGATTTTCCTAACAATGTGACAATAATTTTCAGGTCACGAGATGTTTGGTTTTGATTAATGGCTTTAAGAGTCTGAAAGGGTTAAGCCTGAGGAATGCCTTAAAGCACCACCTAATATAATATCATACAGACTTGGTGGGTAAAGCAGCTTAGGATTTCAAAGGAGTAAGACCTACTATCGAGGTCCTTCGCATTGTCTCTGTAATATCAATGTAACTTGTACTTAGTTGCTGACATGCAATAACCTACATTTTGTTGAAGACAAGAGACTCTTATTACACAAGCAAGTGGAACACTTGGAGCATCAGATAGTAGACAACCTGAATGCGTTTCACAGTCAAAAATTCTCAATCTTCAGTATGAAGACATGTTTTGACCTCAATCCTGAAATGGCGGAAGGAATTAAACTAGTTTAAGTCAACAAACAGCCAGTCAAT